TGGGTTGTTTGTACTGGAAATGTTTTATCGTAAGCTTCTTGATTCGGCTGGGTATACGCTGTTGGTCTTTGGAATAATATACGAACAAAGTATTCGTGTTTGTCTAAATTGAATTGCACGTCCTTTTTAGTCGTTCTAGAATGCTGAACATACGAAGAGTACTTGTCGTGTCAGAGCTCCTGGGCTCTACATGGTTCTTTATGATTACATTGGTGCATCATTCTTAGCTTTCTTAATATACGTTTCAATTTTTGCATGAATCGTAGTTTGTTTGTGTAGAACCACACACTTTAAGTGAAATCGTACTATTTAGACAAGCGATAAAAGCGCGAACCATGCAAAGATAATTAAAAACACAAACAAAAACACTCGGAACGTTTTAGTGAATATGTGTTAAGATAAAATTTATAACTGATCTTTTGGACCGAGTAAACATAAGCTAAACGAAAAACCAAACTATTTAAATATATTCAAAAAAGTGGTGTAGCGTTTGTACATGCTACGCCTGCCATGCATAATTTTGACGCAGCCGCAGAGATAGTAAAATAATATATTATTTTAAACCAAAAGCGTTCCAAGCCTTAGAATTTGTTTTTCAGGAGTTTCATTTTATTTTAGATCTATCTATCTATCTATCTATCTATCTATCTCTCTGTCTACCTGTCTGTCTGCCCGTATGAATATATATATACGTATATATATATATATATTCTCGAATTTATTGGTCGATTAGATAATTAAAGATCGACCAGATTGTAGTTTTAGTTTTAATACGCAAGGAGATATTGTAAACTAAGAAGTACCATTGCTGCATCCTTACCATTCATGATCCAGACATGTTTGGTCTTGTTACTTTATATAGCCAAGCTTAGCGGACCGTTTTATATCGTAAGCCTTTTTTCCGGCGCACGGATCCGTGCTCTTTCTAGTATGTGTGGCTCATGGCTCGCCGTATATCGACCACTTGTTGGGATCAGAGGCCCTCTCTGGGAGGATTTATTATCGGCAAGCTATCGGTCTTCCGCAGATCCCATGGTCTCGAGGCTCAGACCACTAAGCTTCTCGGTAAACGATTCCTACGGTCAAAACAGAAAATTGGAAACTAAGGAAACATAATCTGCCTCTACACTCAAATGTGCTCTTTGATCGCATTGAGTCCTTCTACGAAAGTTCATGGTTATCCTAAATCGTACAAACCGGCATGCTCAGCGAGAACGATGCGACAGCTACGTCGCAGGGTAATAAAAAAGGGAAGATTGCCTGCTTCAGAAACTCGCGATGGGTTCTCAAACAAACATTTTACGGCGCATCAAATATTGTATTTGTTTTTAAGGACACTTTGTTTCTGAAGTTCCCTCGGTGTATAAGAATTCAACTAATAATTTTTAGCAAAACATTACGCCTTTTAAATGAAATATTTGCGTGATTACTTAGTTTCGAGTTTCTCATATTGTTTGCCATCACGTCAGGCTAGTTTGGGCAGATGTTTTCCAGGGGCTCAGCGAATGTATTTTTCTACGGGAGTGTTTTTTGACAGTTATTTATGTAAACACGGGAGGACTTTTAAAATATGTTTGTGTGATTAAGCTATGCTATGAATATGCGAAAGTTCCAAGAAAATGCGTCTTAGTGTTTTGGTAGGTTAAGAAGTATTTTTGTTTATTTATAACTGAAGCAACCCACGCTGACCAGTGTTCAAAGATTTCTAGACTACGTGTGGATTTATTAGAGCCTTGTACAAAAACTCATTTAAGAAATTTATCAACGAAATTTAAATAAGGGTTTGCCCTAGAATGGTGCGGACAAGCGAGTTTTACCAAAGTAAAACAAAAACCAGTTTCTTGATACCCAAAGAAAATCTCCACCGAAATACATATTTTAATTTTCATTGACAAGTTCACTATTATAAACAAACTCCAACCTAAAACCATTGCGTGATACTTCTTGTCGGAATAATTCCGCTCGATATATCGGGACGCATGGTGTCAGAAAAAATTGCCGATTTTATATACTTGTAAAGTGATTGTTCTCTGGAACCATGACTATGTAACGAAAGACACAATTTGTGCGGAAGTCGTTTTAATTTCTCTTGTGACTTCTTAGAGCACACTTGCGTAATTATAAGAATAGAAGTGAATATCATTTTGAAAGCTTCCTGATATGATGCATTTTTTATTGAGTGCGTGCAATTAGCATTATTCATCAACAACAGTGTCTGCTATGCGGTGTTCGAGGATATTTAGTAACGTCACCTGTAGTCACTTAGAGGAGACGAAACGAAGGGCCTGGCGATTCCCGATCATCTCACTATTTCTCCGCAGATAACAAGATTGCGGTATTCACCAATAAGATCGTCGAAGCACGCATCACAAACAAAAGTAATATGAACATAAAAATCCTCCGCCCTTGGTTTCTTAAGCTGCGAGGTAGCTATAGTCGGCAATATCGTGAACAAACGATTGCACGATAGCTCGCAGCTACACCGTCGAAACAGGTTTCATATCACTGCAGATAGGCTTGCTCGATCTTTCGAATTCGCACCGTTGGGGTGGGATTGTGGCCACGGTGACCGCGTGGGCGTTTTGACTGCTGGTTGGACGTGGTCTCAGACTTTTCTGCTGGGCGCGCGTATCTGACCAGTAAGACATTTTTGGATCCGTTCCCGAGCTAAAACGCCGACAGTAATTTTGGTGAGATCGTCTCACCGACGCTGAAATGACGAGCCGTCGTTGTAGCCTCTGCCAGGGCTGCTGAACTAACTGCCTCAAGGCCCGCCGTAGTTGAAGCAGTGTTCGGATGTATTTCAAATATACTGTACTTAAAGTTCTACTTCAAGTAGGTTTAGAAAACATTTACTTTACTTCAAGTACATTCTCTGAACTTGTATTTGTACTTTACTTAATGTATGTTTTCTGGTACTTTCCGAGGTTAGTAAAACTCTTGACTTCAAAATATATTCTCGAAAGTTTTACTTGTTAAAGGGCAACTCCGGTCCATATTTTCGATTTTGGGATTACGACTGTTTTTAACGCAGTCAGTGTCCCTGAATTACAAGGTGTAATTTTTTTCTCGGTATTGTGCGTAGTGTTAAATATATAGACGCCTCAAAGTTTTTGTTTGGGTCGCGGTCGACAAAACCGAAACTAGCCACTCGAGGTCCCGGCAACACTGGAAATCAGCCGCTAGGCAGACGTGACATCATGGTCGCTCTCATTCAACGAGTACGTGGTCCAAGCGGCGCCTACCTCTGTTGCGCTAGCAGTTTAAAGATAAAAGGTAAGCTGCTTTCGTTTCAATCCTGTTTACATGGTAGATATCCAGCATACGTAGCAAGAGTTAGTGCGTATACCCAAAAGCTAGCGACTGGCAGGCGAGTGAACTCGTTCGGTTCCGGTGTAGGACGCCGATCTCCCTACCCCTCCGCTTCGACTACGGTAGTGGTTATGGCGTACACCAATATGAATACCGTAGTCGTTTATTTAGCTAAAACGGCTGAAGTAACTCTCTGCGGCAAATACCCTGATTGTTTGTTGTCGTTTGAATGAGCGGTGGAATGCGCGCGCGGTAGGCGTTGATTAACTTTGTACCCGGGCGCCGTCGCCTTGCGTGCGCTCGTCCGTAGTCGTCTCTATGGGCCTAAATTGTCATCGGGGCTCCGTGGATGGAGTGGCACAGCTCTACGCCGCGCTGCCAGTGACGTAGTGCAGTACTCTGGGCGCCGTCGCCGTGCGAGCGCTTATCTGTACTCGTACTGTACCTAGGCCTCTCTCTTTCGCGCTGGGGGTCAGTCCCAGACACGAAGCTTTGGGGCTCTCCGGCGCGGGCAGCGGGGTCCGAACACGCGTGTGCTGGGCTGTATACGTTTGTTTTTTCGTGTGGTTCTTTCCTCAGGCGCGTAAAAAGTGAACTTGTAAGCTAAGACAGTGGTAATTTACCACATAAATTCGTCTAGGTGGTGGATCTAAGTTGTGAAAATATAAAAGAAAGGACTTGCCGCACTCAAATGTGACAAAAAAACAAAACAAAAAAAAAAAAACTTGTGTTCGGTGCTAGTTAGTGGTTACAGTCTCCATGCCCACCATTCCCCATTCAATGGAGCGTAAATGCTTCATGTTCAACACTGCACTTGACAATGACTGCTTTATTGATCTGGGTACTTTTATCATGTTTATCATGTACGACATGCCACTTAGGGCCGGTTGCACCAACGCCGCTTAGCGCTAAGCGGAGCTTAGCCGGGAACTTAAGCTAAGTTTTGGTTTCGTTCGGTTGCACCAAACTCGCTTATCGCTAAACCTAGCACTAAACTACGCTTAACTTAAGCGCTCAACATTGGGCGCTTAGTTTTTGGTTGTTTCTTAATCCTGGATTAAAAACATGGCGGCTGGTTTGTGGCGGTCGACGCGGTGGACGAAAGTGGTCCTAAAGTGTGTTTTAGGCTGCAACTGTGTAACAATGACCAGAGAATGATCTTCAATTGTGCCAAGGATCCGAAATATAGCCACGATAAGTGCTTATTGACCCTCATTTTTAAATACGCTCTCGACTAAAAATGAGCGTTAGCCCTAACCGGGCAAAGCGGGGATCGCGGAGACAAGTCACATAAGTAGGTTTTTTCTTTTGCACGACTCGTGTTTGATCTAATCAGCGTATGTACACGATCGAAAGTATTTAGTTTGGAAGATTACTGAAACGTGTGTCCAAGGTGTAAATATTTGTATTTTCATTCTTCGCCGTGAAGCGGAGTCGTCGCAATCGATGTTTTGATTAGCGGCAACGTCCGATTGCAATGATCAGCTGATTCTTGACGTCTGCTACTGGAACTTTTATTGTGGCAGAAATCTCGCTTGAACAATAAACTATTTGAACATGCTTTAACGTTCTTGTGTATCGAATTAGTTATATATTTCCATATCATATTTCTGTTTAATAAGATTTTTAGCCTCACGATTTACATTGTAGCAGGTGCTTCCTCGAAGAATGAATGGTTACTGTACGACATGTTTGCCGATTCGACTTTTTTTGGAGGGGAAGATAGTGACCTGGAAGATTACCAAGATTCCATCGATGTTCGTTGGATCCAGGGCCGCTGCAGACCCCGGCAGGTACGGCCGAGGGACGACCCTTTCTACCGGTACGATGACGTAGATTTTATCACGCGATTCCGACTCTCCAAGGATGCTACCATCCGGCTGCTGAGCCGAATCGAACACGCCATCGCCTTCGACGGCCTTCGCAACTGCCCACTGTCGCCCATCAACCAGCTCTTGGTCGCTCTTCGATTCTACGCGACGGGCACCTTCCAGGTAGTTTTGGGCGACCTGTGGGGTGTGCACAAGTCAACTGTGTGTCGAGTCGTCCAGCGGGTCACGCACGCCATTGCTGCGCTGGCAAGGGACTTCATCTCTTTTCCCACGACCGAGGCGGAACGCAGGACTGTTTCCGAAGGATTCTACAGCATGCAAGGATTCCCAGGCGTTGTTGGAGCAATCGACTGCACGCACGTCCCCATCCAGTCGCCTGGAGGTGATCGCGCCGAACTGTATCGGAACCGGGCCGGATACTTTTTCATTAATGTGCAGACAGTGTCAGACCATCAACTCTGCATCCGCAACATTGTGGTCCGGTGGCCAGGCTCGGTGCACGACAGCACAATCTTTGGCAACAGTGCTTTAAAAACACTGTTTGAGAGTGGACAGATGAATGAGAGCATCTTGCTAGGAGATGGAGACTATGCCTGCTCCAGGTACCTCTTCACACCAGTTGCTGCACCGAAGACGCCAGCTAAGAGAGCCTACAACCGAGCCCACATACCGACACGCAGTACTGTTGAAAGGCAGTATGGCGTGTGGAAGCGCCGCTTCCCCACTCTGGAGTTTGGACTCCGCATCAAGCTGGAGACTGCACTGTCCAGCATCGTGGCCATGGCAGTGGTCCACAATCTGGCACTCCAGCTGGGTGAAGCCGAACCACCCGTAGACTTGAGGTTGGCAAGTCGTCGACGCGTCTTCTCAGATGTAGTAGTCGAGCATGTTCCTGAGCACCATGGCAGGACCAGTGCAAGATCGGCACTCATCGACCAGGTGTTTGCCAGGCGAGCCCGTGTAGCGAGGCGAAGGGAGTAAAACAGCACAAGGGGTGCACTCTTTTGACAAGTTCCTGCTGAAGGAAGACGCCATAGCAGGAGCTGGCTCAGCAGATGCCTTCCACTGTGTTGGAGCAGACAGAGTTCTCGTATGTACTCGACAGCACACAAAGTCATGTGTGAACATTTCTGTTTTGTTTACATGTTAAAGGGCAGTTGCCCAATTCTTGTTTAAGTTCTTTCTTTTGGTGCTGGAAGCGCCGCTTCTGCTACGCTGCAGCACCTTCCCACACCTTGGGTGAAAAAGAGAGCTGTACATGCAGCACTGATAATTAGCGTAGCTCAGTAACCATGTCGATGGTGCCAAGTCAAAAGCGCAATTTGGGAGAGCTGGTTCATGCCTATAAGACAGAATACAAAAGGCGTCAACGTGAAAAGCAGCAACGACAAGATACGGGGTCGTTTGTCACAAACTTTATGCAATGCACACTTTTCCAGGCGTCATCGAAGCGATTCACTACATCTCTATTTCGCTTGGTGTCCGAATCATCACAAGACTTATGTAGGATTCTTGTACACTTAAGGCATCTTCACATGTTGAAAATAAGTAATGTGCTCAATAATAATTCTATAAAATAGATCCTTATAGATCTACTGAGCAGTTTTTGCAAATTCAGTCAATGAGTAGGTGCATACATAGTGCCATAATATATACTTTCCCGCAGGATATATATAAGAATCTTCCAGGATAAGCATTGACATCACACAACACACAATATACATAACATTCATCAACCTTTCCTTGATCTGAGGACTTAAATGTAAGCAAAAATTAGAAGCTGTTCATATCGCCCATTTTGTTAGTTCACTTTATTGGAATACAGAAATCCTTTCTGGCAAAACTAATGGCATGACTACATCACATTTACATTGCATGCTGTAGTTTTAGATGACTGTGCAATAACCACCTTAATATTGTCAAATATCGCAGAAATGAAAATCTATTCATATTTTTTATTTTGTGAAGTGTACTTCGTTGCAATACAGGGGTGCTTTGTGGCAAAACTAATGCTATGTCTACTTCTACACAGAATCAGATCTGTTTATCCAGCCATTTAGTTTTTTTTATAAAATATTTGCACTCTAAAACAATGCTATCTTAATCTCCTACAAAGTACTCCCCTTAGCAGCTAACACACTTCTCTATTGAAAAATCCACCAGACCAGTTTGGTGTCTTCTAGTGTTTTCTGTTGTGAACATCAGACCGGCCTGGTGTGTTCTGGTGCGCACATCAAACCAGCCTAACATATTCTAGTGTGCCCACCAGAACACGTTAGGCTGGTTTGCCTGCCCATCACACCATCCTAGTGTGGCCTGATGTGCACATTAAAACAAACTAGGCTGGTCAGATATGCCCACCACAGCACACTAGAATGGCTTGATGTGCGCATTATGCCACACCAGACCAGACTAATGTGCACACCACGGGACACTAAACTGGACTGACATGCACTATAGGGTGAATCTGGTGAGCACACATTACGGATATATGCCTGTTGTTGATTGAAAACATGTTTTCTTGTAAAATTAAATAAGATGTATAGAGCTCAAACATCACATTTGATTTTATAAGGTGCTTAATTGAAGGGGCGATGCAACGATTCAGTTTGAATAATATGTACTTTGTGCAAGCATGCTGACACAGTGTAACAAAAGTTTACCCGTACGCTCTAGCCTGACGCACAGAATAGAGGTTTGTCTCGTCAACAATCACCGTCAGCAGCTTGTCATCAATGAAAACGTGAAAATATTTCAGCAGGCTTTTCACATCATCAGAGGCCGTAAACACGGCCTCCGCAGGCTCCACTAAACACCGGTCTTTCTTTCGCCAGTCGAAAACTTGCGGCGGTGACTTTTGTTTCTTTCTTGACAGAACTGGAAAGGCGGGCGTTCCGCCCTCAGTTTCGTTATCGCTTGGAAGTTCTGTTGTTAGGCCCTTCGTTGGCAAGCTCTCCTGGCCACCGTCACTTACTTCACTATCACTAGATTCCACATCGGACACTGTTCCACTTTCCGGAATGAAAACCACACAGGAACGATCGCGACTTCGTGTCTGGTAGAAAGATCCTGATAGAATTTCCATCGGGCAGCAGTAGAGTACGAAACCTAAAAGAAAAGAGCACCACGTCAAATTCTATCAGTAAACAGGTCAACATAGGGGTGAACTAAACCACGCCAAACAGGAAGCTTTCTGGCGACAACTGCAGCTGACTCCTCGTGCATAGGTATGTAAGATTGAGAGTGAACGCTCGCCCCTAAACTATCGCCCAGTCTATTTACCTGGCTAAACATTAATCGGCTTAAACTACCGAAACACTGCCAAATCTAAGCCCGGAAGGGAACACCACAGAAATAACAACGCTACTATCCGACTACTCTCTTAAGCCTGCGTCACATGCAGCGACTATGGGAAAAAAAAAATCGGTGCGACGGCTGACGCAGCGAGTGCGATCGCAATGTTTGGTTTCACATGCTCCAACAACCGCGCGATTTCTGTCTGAGCGGCCGGCGCTTCGGACACGGACGTAACGCTTTGACTTTATCTAAAATACGACAAAAACGTCTTAATAAGCACAAATGTTTTAGGAATGCAATGTGTAACTAGAAATTTCTAATAATTAGGCATTAAACTAGAAGCTTTTATGTGCCTACGTTTATTTTCTTCTCGCGGATGAAAGCTGGCTAATGAACGGCTGGTTGACAAGAAAGCGATCGCACTGACTCTGCGGCAAAATACCAACTCGGTGGAAAGCAGTCGCAGAGCCGCTGCGACAGTGCGACTGCGATTTTAATTGCACATTTTACTGGGAATCGCAATGATTTCGGGCGAGAATCGGAACATGAGAAACAGCTTTTACACGATACGCATATCTATACTATGTACTTTTTCCCCCGACTTTCATACGTTTCAAGGTGCAATACGTCTACGCAATGGAATCTAGAACTTCTAAAAATGCAAAATTAACATATTTCAGAGCAAAGTACTGCTTACCTTTGCAACAGCAGGCCGAAATGCATAGCACGGCGTGGACGATATGGGACGATACGCGTCCTGGCTGCCGCCATGCGCATCGGAGCCGACAGAGAATCTGGAAAACCCCTGGCGGCAAAAATTTGAGACCGCGAAACGAAACCAGTAAAATGTATCTTCTAACATACGTTAACTTGCTTGCTTATTGCTTTGAGTTCCAAAAACTATTATCATATTGATTGTATCCTGGAAGAGAGTTAAAAAAAGGAAAAAATATTTGTGTCGCTATAAGTGGTGGGAATCGTCGGCGGCGTCTGTGTACACTGGGCAATTAGGCCCGCCAGCAGCGCGAGCTCGTCAAGCTCGTCGTGGAAGAATCAAGTTCAGCAAGTCACGAGGAAGGTAAGGATCTTTGTTTCTTTTTGTGTTTGCTGCATTGCACATCGGGATTTTCGCAATATTAGATCTGCTGAGACGTTTGTAGCTTGATCTCCAGTGAGCGATACGAGCCTGAATGTATAGATTTACAGAAAAGTTTCTGGCGGCTATCAGTTCGAAAGTCTTCGTTTTAGCCAGCATAGCCAGCTGTCATTCGGACACCTCTTTGAGTTGTCTTCACCACTTGTAGGATCGCTCTATAATAATCGCCGCCCGATTGGTATGTGTTTCACTCGTCTCCCAGGGAGGGACACAACGCAACGAGAAGACAGCTAATCGTTTTACTGTACTTCCCAGTTGTCCGTCTTCGAGAGCTGGCAGTCCGGACCCGCCGACCCTGGTTGTCGCCCATCGTTCAGAGCTCGCAGTCGGCGTCCGTGTCCAGGCCTGCGGACCGTCCTTCCCACGCCAGCGCCGCGTAGGCTAGCTGTTCCGGGCTATCACAGCCCGAGTCTTGCGGCGAAACCAGTTTGGGATCGTCGCGGCCTAGGCCAATATGGCCAGGGCTCGCCGTTTCCGCCGGTCCTGATCCGAACCTTGCTGGTGGAACACTCCGGGGATCGCCATGGGCCGGATCAACCAGAACGGCTCCATTGTTCCTGCCCGGCCCCAGCATGGTGCAGCACGCTCCTCCTGTTTCCTCGCGCTCGCCCCCGGCTAGAATAAAAGGTGGGTGATTGGAACTAGAGCACTATATAGCTCCTTCGGAGCAGAGTAGCGCAGAGCCGTATATTGGGAGAGTTTGGCCAGTAGGTGTGGCGGCGAAGGCGCGGAGAGGAGAAAAGTAAATGAAAGGGAGGAGAGCGCCGTAGGAGCGAGAGATAAAGAAGGGAGCAGAGAGAAGACGACCACCATTTTTTAGCAACGCTGTCGGAGGCTGGTCGGATAAGAGCACTGGAGAGGCTACGCGTCGTCTGCTACGGGCCGACTTCTTTTTCGCCTGAAGTTTGGGGCCATGCGCCAAAAAATCTTCATTTGTTAGCTTTTTAACCCACCGAGGAATAACAGAATGTAATTTTCTTGCCAGAGCCAGTGATATAAAAGGCAATAATCGAGATTTAGATGCCGATTCCATGCATTCCGCCTGGAGAATGATCGAAGATGGCGGCCCTTTCCACTCAGCTGCGAGCAGCCGGGAGTTCACGCGCATGCGCTCATGCCTCTCACTCTGCGCCGCGTGCTGACTGGTTCGCTCAGGAGGAGAGCGTTACGGTGGCGAGATCATAGACTGACCAAACTCTCCCCATATACCGCTCTGGAGTACCGCAATCTAGAACGCCATCTCTCGGCGACTAGTGGCGAACTCCTGGAGGTTCCAACTCCGGTCAGAAATGCATGGAAAACGTGGGAAAATCGCTGTTTCTTCATTGTTGTGGGGATGTACGGAACGACAATAGTTTTTGACATAATAATGGAACATTTTACAATAATTTACGCTAAGTTCTGTGCCACGTAAGGGCGTAACTTTTTTTTAAAAAATGCCTAAGCGGCATCATGCAGCAGACGACGCGGCGACGTCACACCAATCACGTGACCCGCTCCGGCCAACCCAAAAAAAAAACATCTCTGC